TATCCCAGGAAAACTATTCTCTCTTAGCCTCAGTTTTCTTATCTCTAAAATGAAGATAATAGTGCCTTCCTCCAAGGGTTATTGAAGTTAAAAATTGTGCATAAAGTCCCTGGCACTATAAGGAAACTCAATATTTAATATGTTACGTTCCTTCCCATCCCCTCCTAGTGAGGTACCTTTTATAGAGTCCCCAGTTCAAGATCATCCCAACAGGTGACTAAGAATCGCCTCTGACATAACTGTTGCCATCATCTTCTAATGACAATAGGTACCAATTTCTTGAGTAAGTCCTATGTGTTTAAGTGCTTTAAACATTACCTCATTTCACCCTCACATTAACCGTATAATTGTACAAGGCGGAAACCACTGCTCTTCAGATGATTAAACTGAAGCCTGGTGAGAAGGTGACAGCCCACAGACACACAACCACTGATGGAAGGGCATCAGGTAGCCTGGCTTCAGAGCCCACGCTCATCGTGACTACACTCTGGTCCTTTATCCTCAGGTCCCACCTTCTTACTAATATATACTACACACAATACCAAAGACATGTGAAAGAAGAACCCACACCCTTTAAAAATAATTCTCATGTCACTGCAAGTTCAAAATGAGCTCTACTGGCACAGCTGCCCGTGCAAACCTTCCCTGGGAGACCTGCACACAGAGCATACTAATTCACCTACGCTCATAAAAACCAGTTACCGATTTTGATCTACAAGCCATGAAATGTATGCTCAGGAGCTTTGTTTCCACCAGAAAGCCATCCAAACTGAATTGGATGAGTTTCTTAAGTTCTTCAGCTAATATTTCAAATTATAAAATACTGACTTCCCATCCTTATTGAATCAAGATAGAAAATAAGGTACCCCATAGTCAATGGGAGAGAGATAAAAAGACAATAAAGACAAAGAAGAATGTTTTATTCTTAAAGAATAGAAGGTAAACACCCCATTAGCTCTCCAAGATTTTAGGGCAAGAAGAAAAGGCAAGTTATTAAAGGATACAGACATACACATAGAGTTCACCTCACCCAAACCCTTCAGTGGGAAGACGGAAGCAGGCCCGGTGCCATAAATAAATAAGCAGAGCCTCCAGGCCAGGAGATGCCCTGCCTTGCACCCAAGTTTGCAGCTGAGATTTTCTGTTTAGGTTTTTTTCTTTTTTTCTTTTTTTTTTTTTTTTTGCCGGGGGTGGGGAGGAGAAATTTTATTTTTTTATATATTATATTGAAATGCAAATCAAAACTACAATGAGGTGTCACCTCACACCAGTCAGAATGGCCATCATCCAAAAATATATTGAAGTATTGTTGATTAACAATGTTGTGTTAGTTTCAGGTGTACAGCAAAGTGACTCAGTTATACATATACAGTTATCTATTCTTTTTCAAATTCTTTCCCCACTTAAGTTATTACAGAATGTTGAGCAGAGTTCCCTGTGCTATCAAAAAGTCTATAAGCAATAAATGCTGGAGAGGGTGTGGAGAAAAAGAAACCTTCCTACACTGCTGGTGGGAATGTAAATTGGTGCAGCCACTATGGAGAACAGTATGGTGGTTCCTTAGGTTTTTATCTTATATCAGGTATATGTAAAACCAGCGACAAAGAATTCATTACTGGAGGAAAGGGGTGTATTCTTTATTATTTGAAGTAAATTTCATTCAGGAAAAACAATGAACGTTTACAAATGAACATTTCAAATTGTAAAAAGAGATCAGGAAATAAAGCAAAAATTATGGTTTCCAGGATATCAGAAATAATTCAATTCCTTCACACGCTTTAAAAGATGAGAAGATAGCTCTCATTTATGACCTGTGAATTCAAATGTTCTTCACTTTTTTTCTTGATTTGGCATGGAACTCCAGGGCACCATCACAGTAAAGGAAGAGGTAAAAGCCAGGAAGCTAAGAAATAAGGGGACAGACTCACTCTCCAACCAACAGACAGTCTGACTTGATTTCAAACGCCAATAGATGCTCCCTCTTCTCTGGTAATTGCTACCTGCTGAATTTTATCAATTATATTTACTCAACTAACTCTTCTGTACAACAGAAGATAAGATTAGGAACCTAGTTCTATTCACCATAGAGGATGATGAGAGTGGTGCTCGTAACAATGACAAGTACACTTCAGTATCTGAATGTCATCACTAAAAACGCATTAATATATCCTTAGAGAGCTCCTCAAAGTTTATTAGAAACACTTTTTCTCAAGGGCTATTGTTCACCCAAAAATAAATAAATAAAAATTAATTGATCCCCAATAAATATAAAATTAATATATTTAAAAATGAATAAACTAACTGTCATGCAATCCATGCTACTGGCCTCAAGGATGGGAATGTAAACAAAATTTTTCCCATATCTGCCAAACAAATAAATGAACTTTTCCTTGAGGACAAGCCATACTTTTCTGCCTTTATTAAGGAAGGTATATGGGGCAATTCTAATGCTTTAGCTATTACTATTTCTGACACAAATTAAGCTAGAAATGCATTCTGGTTATGGTGAAACACCGCCCTGCCCCAGGAATTTCTAAGAACAGCAGGACTGCTAGAAACAGCCACTCAGAAACAATCCCCCTCCTTACCCAGCTCTGCTAGCAGGCGGACCTTTATTAAAACCAATCTTTCCTTGGCAGGACCTCTTGGAGTCCATCATAAGAAAATGATGAAATAATCAGACCTAAAATGTATTTATTTGCTTGTGTTTATGTGGCAAGGGAAAAATGAATCCTAGGAAGATCCAGACCCCACTAATTTAGAAAGTCCTCCTTTATCTACATATTGTTACACCTGGAGAAATCAGATAAAGCAAAGGATGTATGGACAGGGAGGGAGAAATGTCTTGGTCCTTAAGTCCTAACTTTACAGGAAGCATCTGCTCTGAGAACAATGACCCACAGCCCCTGATAACAAAGTTAACATTCTCCTTTGAAAGAGGGAGAAGGGTTGCAATGGTATTTTCAATGAAACTGTATGTCAACTGCATCCAAAACAGCCCCTGAAAGTAGCGCATTTTCTCTCTTTCTTTTTCAAAGATCCATTAAGCTCCCAGGATAGTGTTGTCCGACCCACTTTAGCCTTACCCAAAAGCATGACAAACTTTCCTCCCAAAGGAAAAATCTAAGAATAAAGTTTAAAACCAAGCCACAGTAACAAGCACCTCAGTGTTCGTACTATTTGCAGAAAAAAAGGAACAAGACTGACGAAGGAGACTGCAGAAAAGACAACGTAGGAGAAATTCTAGAATAAGCACACGCAAATGTCCGAGCAAAGTCCAAGTATTTATCAAGATCATCCTTGTTATTCTGGACCTTTGCATTGTAGTAAAACTGTCACACTAGTAGAGCCAAAATGATAATTCTTAATGAATAAATAATGAATGTGGAACTACCTTAAGTGTTGTCTGCTGTGACTTAGTATTTCAATATTTTCTTTAGCCATTATCACAAGACCAAGATTCATTCATTTTCAGAATAAATAGTTCAATAATAAAAGTAAGAGATCTGCCCCCATGTAAAAAGGAAACGATGCTTCCTGCGTCTTCTTCAATAGTAATCCTATTTACAATATTAACAGCCACTGTTTATTGAGTGCCTAATAGGTACTAGATACTGATTTTAACTTTATAACTACCCTGGGAAGCACATTATCCCCGTTTAATAGATGAGGAAATTGCGGCTCAGAGCATTTAAGTAACCTGCCCAAGATCACACAGCTAGTGCTAAGACTCAATCTCAGATCTTAAGCGCTAACTGCATTGCTTCTCCAGGGAAACAAGGCCTCCCGCATTCCTGACACTACTCCTATGAAAGACAAAGTGGCCTGGCCCCTGCACACATCACCTCTTCCTGACTCCAAACTTACCCACCCAGTCAGTCAACTTCCCAATGGAGAAAGAACCTTGGATGTAGATAAACTGATTTTATCTTATTTCATGATGGTATTAATTTCTCTATGCTGGTAAAGGATAAACATTTATATAACGAGCTACTGTGGAATCTCATCCACCTTTCATTTTGTGCCCTTAAATGATTCTTTTAAAGGATAACTCAACATTATAGGAAGTTATGCCTCAACTTCTGGCCTCTGACTAAACATCTAAACATGCTTCTAGTTAACAGTGTTTACAGTTGGGTGGTAGGATTACAGGTAGGATTTTGGTTTATTCCCTTTACTTCCAGTATTTGCCAGGTTGCTAGCACTGGGTATATATTACTCTTTCAATTAGAAAAAATTAAAATGTTCATTTCAATGTGAAAGCAAGTTTACCTATTTAACTATTTACCCCCCAAATTATTCTGTCCTTAGTATTGAAAAAGAAGACATTCACTGACCCAATTTAATCCTGGGCCTGGTTAGAACCCAAAGTTAAAACAAGATATGTGGGTTCTTTTACAAATGGCTCCGACTTATTTTACATTATTTTTCTTTATTTTCCTGTTACTTAAAAAGCTAAAAAATAAAACTAGATTTTAACTTTAGTTCTTCTTTTCCTACCCACAGGCCTACTTAGTAAAATCCTCTGCATCCAATAAATATGGTCATAACTGGTTTGCATAAACCATACATAAATATGGTTTTGTGCCAGACTGTTAACTACGCCCATTTCCTCTTCTGGGCACACACTGTCCTACATGCCCAGCCTCCTGTGCAGCTAAACGTGGCCATCAGAGGAGGGAGGAATGATATGAGCCACATCCAGGCCTGGCCCATAAAGAACTCCCACAGGAGACACTCCACGCTCTTCCCCTGCAGATTGGAAGCCACGTACTGGTGACGACAGAGCCACAAAGGGGAAGGAACCCGGGCCTCACAACCTCCACCTGGAAGAGCATCCCAGAAACATCATTTTGGACTCCACATGAGTAAGAAATAAAAGTGTATTGTGTAAGCCACTGAAAATGGGGGGGCTTCTCCACGACATCACATAGCACGTGGCTTTATTAACATACTTCAATTATTACTGCAGATGAGTTAAGACTCTGCTGTTATCTTACCTTTTTCAAAGACTCCTTCTGCTTCCAGGACAGAGACGGCAAGGTTCGCTGCTATCTTGACCAGCTCCGCCTTCACAGTGACCTGGGAGGGGCTGTGTTCCAGAAGCTCCACCCCAATGGTCACATTTCCCCCAGGCCTGATGATCCCAGGGGCTGTCACCAGAAACCTGGGCCTAAAGAGTTCCCAACAACAAGGGAAAAACAAAGTTTCTTACCCTCACATCTCCATTCTTTTGAGATCCTCAAATTTCATAGGATCCCTATCCTGTGCCAGTTGCAACTGTTCCAATTAATATTGTCTCACTGCTCCATTTAGCAACTGCACTGAAATGCTATTGAAACAACAATCCCCATAAGTCCATTTTTATCCAGTTTTATTGAGATATAATTGATTTGACTTTCATGCATCATGAGATGATTATCACAATAAGTTTAGTGAACATTCACCATCTCATATAGATACGAAATTAAAGAAATAGAAGAAATACATATTTTTCCTTGTGATCAGAACTCGAAGGATTTACTCTCTTCATAACTTTCATATATAACATACAGCAGTGTTAATTATATTTATCATGTTTTATTGATACATTCCCATAAATCAATTTTAATGCGGTAATCCAGGCACTGTTAGAGGACCGGCCTGTGTTATTATTTCCATTTTATAAACCACAAATAGCACAGGATGGCTTACACTGGGACACGCAAAGTTATTGGCAAAGTATCAATACAAGCCTCTAAGTTCCTTTACAGAAGATATCCTCCCAGCGTAATTTTTTTTTCTTGGCTTAAAGACACACACACACACACACACACACACACACACACACGGATTTTGCTTGTTTCTTATTGAAACCTTTATGTTTGGGCATCTACCCAAAAAAACATCATCTAATCAACACCACTGATTAAAATATACCATCTGAAATTAAACTATCAGTGGTGACATTTCCAGGTAGAACAGAGCATAAAAATCGCTAAAACAGCACTTTCCCTGCCCAAGCTAGGGATTAGGGCTCAAGGGCAAAAACCTTTTGGGGGAAGCGGGGGAGTGCTTTCCACTACTTAGGTGTCTCACTCGTTATCTTCCCACGATGTCTGCACCTAAACCCATACTTCAGCTACCTCGGTCACGCCTTGTCATTTCCAAAGAGTGCAGGCTCAGTAGTTGTGGCACACGAGCTTAGTTGCTCCGCGGCATG